TTTTTTAATTCTTTTGAGTAAATAATGTGGGCCTAACATTTTTATTTTGAGTTTTGGGTGGACACAAATAATATATTATATATTATATAAATATAAATATATATATAACTACATAATAAAAAACAAATTTGAGGAGGGGCACTTGCCCACCCTGCCCATGCCTTCCTCCGCCCTTAATAATAATATGAGTGGTTCGCTTTAGTCGAAGACTAAAGTTACATCTATTGTAAGAAGGCTCTTACTCCTGAGGAATTGTATTGCTTGGGGAGAAGGGTGTTGTTACTAGGGATTTGGCTAGAAGTTTTTTACGGAATATTGCTTAGGTTCCTATTAGGTGGTCTTTTTTCATATATCTTTACACTGTGACATAGTTTGCTATTTATACAATATACCCCCTGTTATTAGGGTTTTGTGATAATTTTTTTTTTGGCTGATTCTGTGATCCTCTTCTTGTTATTCTGTTGTGGGTTTGCTATCCCTAACACTTTTCTGCACCCCACTACGCCTTGAATGGAATATGTGAGTCATATCCACTATCGGTTAATATTCGTTCGTTAAGATTGTCAGGTACTGTTCCCTCGTCTCCTATCCATGTGTCGCGGTACGATTGTTGGTGAATAGCTTGGTGCCGAGTTCCCAATTCCCGAGCAAATATCTATACCAAGCTTGTCGATGTCGAACTGTTATCTATTCAAAGCAGAATTATTGTCTACTTCTATAGAACTAGTGGATTGTGGTTCAACTTGAGCCCATTAAGTGCTATTTGAATGAGACATTTGAGTCGTCTTGCGTGAGCCCAAAGGGGTTTTGTGTTTTGGAGGGAGCTCAAACTTAATTCTGTCATCATAAAAATGTTTCAATCGTTTCAATTATTTCAAAACAAAATTTAGTTGCTTATCTGAATTTTTTGTTTCTCAAAAAGAGAAATTCAAAATGTTAATCACTTCATCCCATAAAGTGATTTTATAAAGCAATTATGATTTGAGTTTGGCAATCAAAGAATACAATTCACAAGTTCTAGTATGCTTGCTAGCTAAATACCAAACCGGTGAGAGACCCCATCTCTATAACCCCCTCACATAACCCCCACCTGGATCACCCTCGTGACCCACCTCCGGCAGCCATCTCTCTCTCTCCACCACCACAACAAACCAGTCATACTGACCAACTTCACGTTCATCCTCGGATATTAGAATCAATGACCTTCTTGAGCATCAGAGCGGCGCTTCAGCTGAGTATGAGCTAGCATCGGCGCACCCAGTTTGGATAGTCAATGTGCACGTTCATCAGCGTTTCATGGGCGGAGATAGCATCGGACCGGATAAAACATTCGACATACTTTGGTTTTCCCAAGTCGGGTCAATCACTACAATCAATCTGTACATCATCTGAGGGGGTTCTTATCCACTCCCTTCTTTGAGTGATTTGTGTGATATAATTCAAGACAAACACAGTAGGATCCAAGTGTGTGTAAGCAACCATGTTTTTCTGAAGTGGGCTGTGAGGGGGTAACATGCTGGGGACATCTACATGAGATTCTGTTTGTATTGAACGTGTTTAGACCAAAAACAACAGCCTTTTAACAAAAGCATTGTACAAGAAAGACCAAACCACACCACAAAGTCCATCTATTGATTATTCGATAAAATCGATTCCAGATACATGAAACCTGCCCTAGACTGCATAAAGTAATCTGAACAGAAGAGGTCCCCCAATCCATATTTGGCAAAATAAACCATCCACTCATAAACCTCCATTTGAACAAAAAAATTACATAATCTGACAGTGCTTTCATTAAATAATGAAATGCCAATACAAAACAATTGCTTAAAGTAATTGAATAAGGCTCAGTCACAGATGTGCATGAAAAGAAAATATTTTGAGTGTACTTTCTTTCTCGATGAACAAAAAGAGACCGAGTTCCTTATGCATAAAGCATAGACAAGCCTGTACTTTCCACTAAGGATGCCATGCATGATGCTTCACCAATTTTAATGTTCTTCACCTTTTACAGCCACCCAGCAGGAACATACATTCATAGTGTATGCAAACCGCATCATGATTCTTGCTTAGTCGGTGGCATCAAATTAGATGTGAAATTCAAGCACGAACCGCATCTGGCGCACGAGACTTCCACCACTGCACAGTCTTACCCACACTATGAGGTTAAATATGTATGGAGATGTTATTTCCATGACTCAAATAAGAAACAAAACATTACCCTGATAACATGGAGAACTGGCTGTAGAATTTCCAACAAAAACAGATATTCAGCATACAAATATCACGACAGTGCAGCAAAAAACTCTAGTTAGCACCAATTTCTAAGCTCGTATAACCCACCAGATATAAGTAGGCTTCTTCTTCAATAATTGACAAGGCCACCATTGATAAAAGTGTTACTTGACCAGTGAATAATCTAAGAAATCATGAAAAACCAGAAAGGATGTTCTCCTTCCAATTGGTAAAAAAAAAAATGGAACGAACTCATTTGTCATTACCTCTTACCTCCGTAGGTGGACATGGTTGTTTTATTGATAGATTTTAAGAGAGCTATGATAGCAAGGTAAGGAAATCATAGGACTACTGCTATAGATCATACTGCATGCCGTATATGATGATCAATAAAAACAAAAAGTTCTCTGATTCAAAAGTTCTGGACAAAATTAATATGCAAGACAGAGATTTAACATTTGAAGGGAAAAAAGATCATAGTAAAATAATCATTCACAAAGTCCTGCAAACAATCATGAGAACCCGCATGTACAAATAACATATTACCTTGCCAGATGAGAGTTTCTCATTCAGTGCTCTACTTTAGCTACTTTCTGAGTTTTGCCCAACAAAACAAGTTATTTGGGATAATTTTCGATGAATACAAGCAGCAAACAATAATCAGCCTCAGGAAACTCAGAAATTCATCAATCTTTTGGCATTTATCAAGTGAACCAAATAAAAGAAAAAGTAAACAGATAGATTTGATAAGAAGCAGCTCAAGAGGAAGACAAATTGATCATTAGTTCATTACATGATAGTGAAAGGTAAGGATTATGATGAGAAACAAGATCTCTACACCAACAGAAGTTTTTGGTTTAGGGAAAAATAATTTAAGCCCTCAGTGAAATGAAAGTGAAGATAACAGTAAAAGGGAGCTCCCTTCAGTCCAAGCACAGAGGGAGCCGGAGGAAAACTATCTCCCGCATCATTCACTCAATCACAGTAGCACAAAACATACCCCTTTCTACTGAGTGGTTAAATGAATGAGTCGGCAGCTAATTCAACCCCTTGTCTCATCCATGAGTGGGCTGAAGGAAGCTCTCTCACACCATTTTTTCAATGCAGCAACTCGTAACAGTACTAATCACACTATTCAACTGCCCCCTTCTCTTGAATACTAAAGAAAGCCAACCAAATTTCCCTTTTCCCGAAACACAACAGTAACTTTGTAAAATTTAAGTGGTGAAACAATTATCTCATTCAAGTGCCTATCTTTTCCACTTCGTGAAAAGAATCAGAACATATAATTTCAAAATGATATCAATGCAATTCACTGAGGAGACATCAATATGAAAACTGTTCATCCATTGATCTGCAATGCATTATTGTTGAGATACAAATGTCTTTTCTGATTATATCACTAACGAACAGTACTGAACCAACAATTGCAATATTAGCTACATGGCAACATGATAAATTAACTAAAATTACTATTTTCCCCAGAACTCTAACAGAAAAAATTGAGAAAATTCTCTTTTCCTCATTAATCAGTGTCCAAGAAATTTGAACCAGCTTTATCCTAAATATCATAAACCATAAAGGATAATATTTTCTTCTTTTTTTTTTCACTCGGCACGCACACCATTAGCTTTTGTCCTGAATAAGAAAAGGAAAAAGTGACAATATTGGCTTTAGTTTACTTTGTATCCATTAATGGATAAAAACTTAAGTTAGTTTCAAACTAGACAGAAAGGAATGGGTATCCATTAATCCCTTCTATCTTAAAATAACTAAAACATTTTCAGCTACCCAAACAATGGGTATTTCCTCTGATAGTCTGAAATAATCAAAATTCCAAACCTTATTTCAATACTCAATGACCATGAAATGTTTTCACCAGCACAAAGAGTGCAACAACTAAAGGATATAAACCACCCACTAGAGTGCAGTTTGAAAGCCTAAAAATAAAAAAGGCAAATTTGAAGGTTTTACAACGGCTAGCAAAAACTAATTCTTTCTTCTGGCCTGAATGATTTTCCCAGAAACCCTAACCTCAATGATGAGCTTGACAAAAGATGGAGAAGAGAGAGAGACCCATTTGCCCACCTTATCCTAGGTCATTGTCAAGCCAAAAAAACCCAGAAAATATATAAGACGTCAATTCCAAAATTCAACAAAACGTAAAGAAGCTATGTTTCCAACAGACAAAAGGGAGCATAGCCATAGATGCTGACCCAAAAACAAAAATACGATCTAACCATCAAATTTATGGATAAAAAGAAATTATGTGCATCGAGGAGAATGACAATCCATATTTCTAAAATCAGTATCACTTACAGACAGGAAAAAAGATGAAAAGATATGAAGCTGAAAGAATAAAACCCAACTGCTAATATGGGTATGTTCCGAATAATGGAAAACCCTAAGTCTCCATTGATATGTCAAATACATTTTTCTAGTATTAGTTCCCTGCAATCGAATGAGATATAGAAGAAAGGAAAGAGAAGCTCAAAATATGCATATTCGAGGAAGAATACAAAGAGATACACACAAATACCCCGCACAAATTACGGACGGATGTGTATTTATGCAAAGGGGGAAAATGATGGGTCGCTTTCGTCATGAGAGTCAGATATAGGATAGGGACTCAATGATCTCAACACATTTTGCTTTGTTTCTTAAAACACACACAACCAAGACACACTCACACACACACAGATATATATATACATGTATATACAGAGAGAGAGAGAGAGAGAGAGAAGTTTGGAAGTATGAAGCCTTTACGTTCCATATTGTGCAACATCGACCACAAAGTGTTCTGAAAAAGAGAAAAGAAAATCCCATTCGCTCTGAATCTCTATCTGGAACGCACTGTGAAGGGTAAGAGAGAAGCTCAGGACACTCATGACAGCTGCAGAGATATAAAGGACCGCTAGGAGTAAACTTTGACCATTAAGCGTTGGTGTTGAGGATAGTACTGCCACTTTAGTATCATCCGATAATAGGAGCTCTCTACTGTACGCCAAAAAAAAAAAAGAATTCTCTGTCCTACCAATATTTATCATATTTGTGAAATTGGTAGGTAGATAATAAGGGGTGTCAATATAATTTTAGAAAATTAAGAAGGTATCTTTAAAATTAAATCAATCTATAAGGGGTGCCAATATAATTTACCCTTTACGTTTATAGATATTTTTCTTATATTAGTTAGTGTATATGTGTATTACACGAGGACTATTTTGCACATCAAAATTATTTTTAATTTATTTTAAAGAAAAATTCTACTAACCAAAATTAACTTATTATGTGTTATTCACCAAAAAGACACCTCTAATTTTTTATTCACCAATAAAAAAAATCTTACCTAAATCAAGAGTTGGCTATAATATATAAATCTCAATCATATGTATTAGAATCAAATTAGCCTTCTTAACTTCTACGTATACCCAATTTCTACATGTTTTCCTCCCAAAATAGTATCATAACATCCATTAAATTAGTTTTACTTTGTGTGATTACAAAGATACTTCTAAAGGTAGAATCATAATCGAAACAACTAAATAATAAGTCTATCACAACATCTAAATCACTCGATTAATCATTTCTCTGATTTTGTTTTTCTATAAGTAAACCATTTCATTATTAAAAAAAAATATTGTACACTATATGTTTTTATATTTACAAGTAATTACCTCCAAAATAATAAAATAAACAAAAGAAATTTGTGGGATGAAATGACAGATCATCTATTCCTACGTGAGGCATAGACAACTCTATCAACCCCAGTGGTAGCACAAAAGGGGTATGACATTCCACAGAAACAATTAAGCAGCAAGCAAAAAAACAAACCTAATAATCAAGACAAAATCACAAATACATATTAAAAATACATGATACACTAAGCCCCTCCCTTGTAATTTTTTTGCAATGCAGGCTAATGAGAACCCAATATGACTTATCTAAAACCTCATGAATATAAGTAGTATCAAGCGAGGGAGGTGCATCCATCAAGGTATTTGGCAGCGCACTTTCTAATGATTTGTTGATTAATCATGGTTTTCATTATCAAGATTAAATTTAGCTCCATTAAAGTCAATAGGAGACACAAACATGTTGATCAACCCTTTCATAAGAATCACAGTGATTGGTAGGAATCAACATACTTTGGACCAATAGTTAGTCACACATGCTTTTCAATCATCAAACTACAAATCAAATACGCAAATGATATTGAATCAAAAATTTTGACAGAATAAACATTGATTGATGGGATTCTTACTTCTTGTCCATCTTCTATAATTCTCCACTTGGATTCCTCTAATTCTTTAAGGCTATGAACTAATTATTTACATTGACTCAATTTTCATATGTTATTTAACGTGTATGCATTTTAATGTAGAGTGACAAAAAGAATTAAAATTTTTGTGAGGCCATGTAGAAAAGACAAGTACTCCTCAAGTGCTCGTTGTGCTTCGAGAATAAATAGCATATACACCTGTAAAGGCTAGACTTACCTTTCATAAGAGTGTAATATACAAGAAACAATGATCAAACAATGGGTTCACAAGACCAGGCCAGTGTCCTCTGTGACTAATATGTTCTGACCCCTAAGTAAACTTATTCTAGCAACAAGGTATTTCAAATCTAACATATAAGTATCCTTTGAATATCAGAGCAAGAACAAGGAATTGTGAGACAAAGATAGCAACTTCAAAAATATTTTTCTTCCACCAACTGAGTACATAGAAGATGTGTACCCCATTGTTCTTGCACAAGATTATTTTTTGAATATAAAATCCTACTCCGACCTTGATTGCAAAATTTTATGTTTTAGTCCAAATTGAGTAATTATAGTATCGGACACTCATAACTATAAACTTAAAAAGAACCTATTGCATAACTAAGGCGTCATTATGTGTCTGAAAAACATAAGAATATAGAGAAGGGGAACATTTGGACATAATTGATGAGAACACAAATATTGATGGAACAATATGTACAAGTAAGTGAAAAAGTTTTGACTTCATCACGAACGCTAATAAAATTTAAATATTTGTATTTATTGATGTATATGATATGCATAGTAAAGTAAATGCGCTCAACTTTGAAACACTTATTAGTTATTGGTAGGAGAAATGAAGAATAGGTTTGTGAAGTTGAATCGCAAACATTTAGTAGCACAAACAGCGAATGAGGAGATTCATTTTTCATTTCTTCTGAGGCAATCGATAGAATTGTAAGGAAAAATTTTGAAATTTCATATAGAACATTCGTGAAACTTTTCAGTCATCAAAGTGTTTATTTGTTGTCTGTCAACAATTAATTAAACTATGGAAAGATGAAATGGTTGGAGTTCTAGAGAGTAACAGATATGTTCATTGTGTAGAAACCGTATAGTGGACTGTTTACCTACTAGTTACAAATATTTTTCACCAGCTATAAATATAACCTAATAATGAACATTAGAGTCAATCAACAAGCTCACCTCTTGATTTAGAAGTCCAAAAGTTCTCTTCATCATTATGATTGAATGGAGAATATGAAAAATTTAATTCAATGATATCATTATATGTTTTCAGTAGTACTACACTGAAAATATATATTTTCAGTAATATTTTTAAAGGTTATTATTGAAAATTACATGTTCTTATTACCTTTCAATATATGATAAAAATGTCCTAATACTATTGTTTGAGGGTAAAAAAGGAAACTAAATATTTTTCAAGTATGTTGACATTTTAAAGTAGTATAAATTTATTAGTATTTTTATCACAATTATAATAATAAAAAAATGATAAAAATAGTTATTACAATGGTGGTAAAAACATTAATGATAAAAATAATCACAACAGTGATAAAAAAAATATCCACAAAAGTGGTAAAAAAATTTGTACTGAATAAAATTTATAAAAATAATTACCACAATAATAATAAAAATACCTACAACAGTGATAAAAATACCCATAAAAGTGATAAATCACCTACAAAAATGAATTTTTTTTTAGTTGTTAAAATAACTCACAAAAATTGTAAAAATATCCTTTGAAGTAGTAACTTTTGGAGATACAATATCAATTTTTTTTTATTTCTACTGTAGTCAAATCCCTGGTAATATAATATCAAGTGAATAAGGTAAACTCTTTTTATTTTTTGCATGTAAGTAGTTATTGTTTTATATGAGGAGAGAGTTGATAGTTTTTTTTATATGAAAGGATAATTGAAATTGAAATGGTATATTTGTCAATATATTATTAGATGGGATTAAACTACGGTATTGAAATTGTTTTTCGTATCTATTTAATATTACAATTATAAAATTGAATTTTTAACTTATAAAAGAATAATAGTAGTTAAGATTTTCACCTATTATGATTTAATGGTACAAATTTTATTTTTTGCTCAAAAATGTAATTTTTTTTACATGGTCCTCATTGTCAGATAACTCAACTAACACATTTCCAAATGTCAAATAACTTCATTAATCGACGCATATATCTCTCTTCTCTCTTTGTCTCCTACCTCTATCTTTATTTTTTCTCTATTTATTTTAATTTTAAACAACATAATTAAAAGGTAAAAGTAAAAATTAATTATTGTTTAAAATATAAATATTAGACAATTAATGTTTAATTTTTGGTATTATAGAATATCTTTAGCCTCCAGTTATTGCTAGTTCATACCATATTTTAGGTGGAACTTATCAACTTCGAGGGTGCATACAACTTTTGAATTTACTTATCATTTTTTTGGGCGAAAGTATTTTGGGGAGTTTTTTTTTTTTAAGTACCATGCTAAAAAATAAATAGCAATAATATTAGATATCATCGTTGCATTGAATATTTTCAACTATTAAATTGACACAATGTTTGTTTCGACTCATGGTAATGTTGGAATTATGTGAGTAAATATTCATTACAATTGTGACATTATTTCATTAATATCACGTAATGTTCTCATCCAATTGAAATGTAACAAAATAGAAAAAATAGACCCTATTCTTTTACATGTGAGTATGTCAGATCCATTTTCTTATTTGTTATGTTTGTATTAGATAGTAAAACCACGTGATGACAATAACATGAAATCATCATTGTGATATATAGTTTCTCCAGTTATGCTACCCATATTATCTTCGTATGAAAAAAATTAAAAAAAACTCCATTTTAAATATATTCTCATGTGACTAGAAATTTTTTTTAAAATATTTAATTTTAAAAAAAAATTGTATCATGTCAAAATTTGTTCATCTTATATACAAGTTATTTCTAATTGTGTATAATATAGTTCGTAGGCATTCTATTTATTATACGGGTCTAATTATGATCTGAATTCGACAATATTAAACTTATCATCAATAAGTTTGAATAATTTGCGTCCAATTGTGTTAATAATGGTTCATCATATTTTTGAAAAGTTGGAAAATGATGACAATGCAATAATAATTAACTTCGGAATAACTTTTCCATAATTGTATTAGAAATTTGGATCATATTCCAATTTCATTTGGATGGAAAAGTTCATGACTACTTGGAAGTTTTATACTTCTTAGGTAAGAAAGAATACTCCTTTATTTTGTATCAACTTGAGAATAGTATCCATTATTATTTTTATTTTATTCTTACTTAAATTTAAATTTGAGTGAAAATTTGAGTAAGAATTGGAGATGTTTTGATACCTTGATACATGAGCAAGTTTGCTTGGCCATATGGTTACTATATAGGGTTTGACTATGATACAAGAAAAAAATCAATGTTATACCATTTACTAATTTTTTGGGCATCTAGAACATATATTAGAGGGGTGAATGAGAGAATACGATACCATGAGGATGAATTAATATAACTTAATATTATACTATCTGAAAGAGTATGGAGTTTCAAGGGAGACTTGTGTTTTTCTTAAGGTTTAATACTCTCTGCCTTAGGCTTCTCCCCCTGTCGTAGTTATGGGTGTTGCCCGTTGATTTATTGAACTGGTGATTATATGTATTGACCAGAATGAGTGTTGTATTTACTGAGTAACTGAATTAACAATTGATAAAATAAAGTAGTTGTTTGATCGAAGTCGAAGAATTTAGAAACCCATTTGTCTTGCCTTTTACACATATTCATATGATATTTTCACTTAAGGCTTCCTTTAATTTTTTTTAATATTTTTTTTATCCTTGCATTTTGGTGTCTTGAAAAATGTTATTACATCTTATATTCTTACGTTTTAAAAATCAAAAAATACGTAAATTATGTGTCGAATTTAAGTGGCCATTTAGATTAGTGTTGCTTGTTATTTGGAGATTATTTTCAATTTTGTATATTATTAAAAGTATGATTTAATTATAATAGATGATGATTTGTTGGAGGGCACTTTGATTATGTACATTAAGAATAAAATTACTGCAAAGCTTTGTATGGAAATAAATAATTATTGGGAAGTGATATGATATCAAGCATTATTTGGATAGGTAATTAAGTTGAATACACTATGATATGAATATTGTGTCCTTTTTTTGTTCAAAGTTTTAGTAAAACTAAAAAATGTTAGATATATTTTCTTCTTTTATTTTAATTTTGATTATTAACATATTTCTTATGTTTGTTTAAAAATATGTCCAAACCTTATTTTATATCAATCAGTGAAATTTTTTTATTCATATTTGTGCTCATCCTAAAATGAAATGCTGACTCCGCCACTAATCATTTTTTATAGCCTTTGGTTGAGCTTAGGTGATTAGTGTAGTCTTAGTCTTTACTTTTTTTGATTTAGTTGAATCTCGATGAAATTGAGAAGTTCAATCCGATATGAACATAGCCCTTAACCCTCTTCTCACGATGATTCCAAATCATTGGGATAACATTTATTATTATTTTTTATTTTTTAATATAATACCAAAAACTAAAATTCCAGTAGTGTTTCGACAGTTGAGTTGTATTTGGGCCCAAAACATGGCCAATTTTCATGTATGATCAATAAACCTAAGGAGTGTTTTTTATGCCCAATGACTGACTCATAGCACCACCATTACCATTTGTGAGTGCTTTTGCTCTCAATTGTTGTACGAAGATGCCACTGTCATGGTTGTCCTTCACTGTCTCACATTTTGTATACATGGTTACGACAGAATAAATTTGTTAGTGACGACGTACATCCTTATACGTTGCGAGTTTGAATGATGAAATTATCTTACATGTAATTAACACCTTTAAATCATGATTGTCCTTCACTGTCTCACATGTTGTATACATGGTTACGATCGATGGATAAACTTGTTAGTCACGATGTATATGCTCATATGTTACGAGTTTAAATTACGAAAGCTGACCCTCCACAAATTCTGTGGTGCACCATCCTTTTATCGTACAACTTCTTTGAGAGGAGAGACTTTCTAGGCTTGGGGTTCATGAGGAGTGAGGACCTTCCTTCAACTTATAGTTGCTTGTGGTTTTCACAGTTTGATGGTAGTGGTCCATCTACAGCTCCAAGTTCATGGATTGATAGCCACCTCTTACAGGAAATATCTCGAACTGGAAGTTGAATTCTGAACTAATATGACACAAACTCGGCGATGTAATTTGATGCGACACAACATGATGTTTATATTAGAGCTTGACACGTGAGTCCAAATAATAAAACACCAAGAAATTGAACCGGTCCCAAGGTAACGAACCAAGGAGAAGGGCTATATCATGCGAAGGGTTGAAGGATGTCCACGGAACCGAGCTTTTAATACTAGACAGGTATGCGGGCCCACTATGATGTGATTGCAGA